AGGGCATGATACCATCTGATAACATCCATGACAAGAGAACACATATTAATACTTAACAGGCACAAAGAAGAATGAAACGCCTTGTCTTATTCAAGAACAGTGTTTGGAAGTGCTGCAAGAATAAACCATTGTGGATTCTTGGGATGAACAAGAAGTTGATCTCCCGAGCAAGTGCATAGTTACAGATGCCGCAAACAAGTGTCTACAGAATTCTTTGGAAGAGCCTATGTCTTAATCCGTACAAATTATAGGTAGTCCAGAAACTTGCAGCACGTGATAAATAGCTTTGATAGAAGTTTGCGACCCACGTGTGCACAAATTTTGGAACATGATAACTTCTTAAGTCATATTATCTTCACTGATGAGACAAAATTTTACATATCTGGGCATGTTAATCAGCATAACTGTGTCCTTTGGGGCAGTGAGCCTCCCAGAGAACATTTAGAACATGACCGGGATAGTCCTAAAGTGCACTGACACATAAAAGATATGGACAGCATTACAAGCAATTCATTCCCGGACATGTTGGAAAATTATGCTCTTCTGCAGCTCAACAACAATCATATTCTTTAACTGGACGGTGCCACCTATTCATTTTGCTCACATTGTCACTGACCATGGTATTTATAGTTATACCACCATGGGTCATGTTCCTTTCTGCTGCCTTCTACCTGTTATCAGAACTGGCCATCTGATTATATGACCATTTATGTAGAATATTCCAGACTAAGCAGCAAGCCATTTACTGGTAACTGCAATGGGTTAAAAGATAAATTTAAGCAATATTACATTGCAGCAATTGATGCCCATAGTGTGTTTTACATAATATTACATTATACATGGAAACAAAATTTAAAATGTTTAATTTGTTTCTTAAGATTTCTGGAAAGAACTTATGTAAGTCTTAGAATAATGGTTCCCAAATATTTTTTGCTGTGACTTTAAATTAGCCATTAACAGAAAGTTCCACCTAGTAGGTTCAACTCTTTAGGCACTTGTCAGTTTGAAAATAATATTGTAATAAGCATTAAGATTCTGATTTGTGTTGGAACCTCATTTGGGAAAAAAACTTCCCATACTGGAAAGTTCTATTACCTAGTGCCTTCAGAAATATTCAGACTAAAAAATATGTTATTTTTCACAGATAGCACTACTGGACAACATTCAGTCACAGACTGAAATGTACAGTATAATTTGTACATTGACACAAAGAAGCCTGAGTAAGTGGTGCTGTTTCATGTTTCATATCTTGTTAGTTCCATATCATCTTCTAGACCAACACTGAGTGTACAACTTATGAAGATAGGCAAGAGTGGTGCTATTCAAGGTAATGTTCCGAAATTTTTGTATATTGACACAATATTGAAATCTGAAACTTTTGATAAACTCAGTTTTAGATAGGATATGAAATGTATGCAGAACTAATATTTACTTTACTGCTTAAAAGCAATTTCTGGTTTATAATTGTATGTAAAATATGGCATTGAAAATTATTTTAAGCGTACCAACTAGATTTATAAGAAGAATTTATTGTTACACTGCAAATTACAAGCATGACAACATTACAGACATTTGAGGTTATGTCTGGTGACTTTCAGAAATCATGGATATTCTCTAATGGACTACCAAGTTAAATAAAATTATTAATTAATAGATTATTCTTGTCTATTTACAGATGTGAAACATTTTAAGGTAAAAAGGAATCGTGTGTTTTTGCAGAAATAAATACACCAATTTCAAAAATATATTACATTATTTCACCTTCTAGCTCAACACATGTCACATGTACAAATTCAGTACAGTAAATCATTTATTTAAGTGCAATAAATGTTGATCCCTTATTTTATTTAAATTTGTTTATAACTACACGGGAGAGTAGAATACTTTTTGAAAAATTAATAGTTGCTGACTTTTTGAATCCCGAAGGTCCATTTTTGTGCTCACACAAAGGAAACAGTCTTTATTGTAACTAGTGTTCTCTGAAATAAAAAAGCTTGTTTTCAGAACTCAGATTGGTACCTGATATATTATGATAGACATTACAAAAAATGCCAGAGCCAATTCCTTCCTTGTTGTGCTATGGGAATCGTAGGTCTGTATGCTCCAAATTTCTCTGGATCCATTGATCTGCACGTCTGCTGAGCTCTGGAGTAAATTCGTCCTTCCAGCTTCCATTTTTACCTACACCAAATAGAATTCTAAGATTACCTTTATGAAAACATAATAGAAATGCACTGATTTCATGCTGTTACTTCGTTAGTTAAGATTAAGATCATGTGAGTCATTAACTTGTTTTTATTGTGTAGGAGTAACATTTTGTGTTAAAGACATGTGTAAATTATAAGCATTAAAGACTATTTCATACTATGTGTGAGCATTTTATGGGTCCTGTTCAGCAAGACTTTGAGTTTAAAGTTCAAAGAAAAATGCTATTTGTCAGACGTTCTTTACATATGAGAACATTCCACACCTATTAAATATATTTTTATTGAAATGAATATTGATCACTGTTCCTAAAATTTATTGGTGAAAGTTGATCATCTTGCTGCAGAACCAGAAGTAGAGAAACAGACAATGAAATGATGCCGTTACCACTTAACCATTTTTTCCATCTATATATATTACACTTGTTGGACCTCAGAGTTAGCCACCTTAAGTTTTGAATAGTTACACTGGCTCTGTATTTTTTGTTGTGTAGGAAAGCAATATATACACATTGAAATGTTAAAGGAAAATCTAAATTACAGTAAAATCTGTCTACAATTTTATCTGAATTAAACAGAAATTATATATAATACATGAAACAAATAAACTGAATATAATACAAAGTAAACTGCTTTCATGATTATTGGTTTTGTATAAATAATTTTGTTCTGTAATATATTGTACACAAGGCATGAATTTTCTTGAATTGTGATTTGGATCCTAAATACATGCAGCATGTACTGTGCTATATTGTCTGAAAGTAAGAAGTCTATTTGTTTCAAATAAAATCTATCTGGAACACGAGATTTTTCAGATCCCCTGAGATTTCATTGTATAAAGTTTTGATATATTTTGTATCCTGTACCTTTCCTGATGAATTCTTCCTCACCCTCATTCAGCAGTCCAATTTGTCTGTGTAAGTCAAAGTTAACAGCTGGATTGTTGCGGAAATTTTTTATATTCAGGTAGTTTACCAGAGATGATACTTGTTCATCATTTAATGGGCCACGTTCCAAGAATTTGGCCACTTTATTGATGGTTGCTGGTAGATTCTGAATGAACAGAAGTTACACGATTGTAATTATTTTTATGGTAGGTAACTCAACCAGATTAAAAACTGACAGTTGTTATTTGTGTTCTCTGTGACGTGACACATTTTAGAGTCCCAGGATCATTATGAGATAGATGAATATTCATAGAAGAAAATAGTTGACATTTTTAATGTTCATGGAAGACTAGACCTCAGGCTTTTAGTATCTGACACATACCAATTTTGAACTAAATGAAAATAGAAATCAGAACAATTATGAGATTCAGTTTCAGTAATAACACAAACAAAAATTATTATTTTATTTCCAAAAGTAGCTTTTTCTTGTTTCATAGTAAGCAAACATTGCATATCATCATTATTGGGAAAGAAAGTTTTGTTATTATTACACAGTGCTCTTTTTTATAAGAATGTAGAAGTAAGTACTAAAATGTGATACTGGAGTGAGTGATTTTATGAAGTTTCTTGCAAGAAGAAAAGAAAAGAAAACCATGATCTGAAGTTAAAATGAATAGTTATCCACATTTAAACTTGCTCATCTTTAGTAATATGTGTTATAAAAAAGGTACTAGTATGCAGTATTGTGTTATATAATATTTTATGTAAATAAAATAAAAATGTTTCTATGAGTTATTTCCAAATATGTAGATATTTTAGAGATGATAATTTTTTGGATAATTTAAATAATTAATTACAATTTCATAGCCTTAACAAATTTTAGGTTTTTACTATTTTTTAACTGTCTTTAGGTTGGAAAATGAGCAGTATTTGAACAACAGATCTCAGTGTGAATTGTGGTCTTCTGGGTTAGAAAATCATGTATTTTGGTAGATGGTTACCAGTGTTTTATAAGAACATATGACCCACATATTTGGGGCAGAAGTCATAGCTAAAAACCACTATCCAAACAGTGAAGATCTTCATTAATTTTTTTTAATATTTAAATATTTCTAAGCAGGATGTATGTCATGCAGGCCTGTGAATTTTTATGCAGTTAGCCACTTTTAGAAGTCTGATAAACATTTATATGAGCTTAATGGTAAGGGTATAAGGAGACAATATTGATGAACTTTAAAGTTGTATCTTTATAATTAATTTTTTCGTAGTGGGACAGAATGTTCCTCCATTTTTTTTATCAAGTTCCTGCTATGTATTTATGATATTCTGTTTGTAATATTACTAATCTGCTATTCTCTTCTAACATCCATCCTGCAGTATTGATTCTTGATTTAACTTGTTACTGATATTAAAGACCATATATAAAATTTAATCCGCATTTGTCAGATGCTTTGGAAGAAAAAGATGTATTTGTACATGATATCCCTAGTATGAATTTACTTACAGTAAAGAGTTAATAAAAGTAGTCTGAATAGAGATGGTCATTATATTTATTATATGACAGGATTTTATAATATATCACCCAGACAATTGTTCCAGTGTCACTCAAAGTACTAAAGTTTTCTTGTTACCAATGTTTCTTTTACCTTGTTCATCTCTTCATAGAACAGAAATAGCACACTGGGATTGTGTCTATGATCCCATCCTTCAGTGACATGTGACCAGTAGGGTGCCCATGGATCTGTGGATACCAATATCTTGGTTTAAAATACACCCCTTTTTTCAATGCCTGAACTCAATCTAGTTGTCCAAACTAATGTTCTATAGCCATCCTCATTTCTTACAATAAAGACTGGTTAGTACCTGAAAAAGCATGCTAACTGCTTTCTTGTGTTGTTACCAACTTAATTATTATAATTATATTTATGACCTTCACAGTCTTTAGAAACCTTGGGATAAATGAAAATAATACACTAAATAGCTGAAATGATCATAACAGTATTTTGTAAACTTTTCCTTCCAAATATTATTAGTTTGTAGAATATGTTAGTAGCATTTGTATCGTTATTTACAAAGCAGCTAACATAATGGATTAGGCTGTTATAGATGAATGTTGGACTTCTGATGACAAATTCTTAACTTTTTCTTTCATTTAGAGACAGAGACTGAAGCATATATAATTTTGTCCTTACATTTAAAAGCGTCTAAAGAGAATTATCCTATAATATTAGACCACTGTCACAATGCTTCAAAATCACAAAAATATAAGACAAAATGGTGAGGTATCTTGACATATTTTTTGCCAAAATGAAAACATATATTAGCCCATATTCTGGTTGCTTGTCTCTGTTTTACAAATTTTGATTGGATTACTCACGCAAGTTGTTTTCAAAATAATCCCAGTAGCGGGGAAAGTCTCCAAGGTAGCCCTGAGTACGAATCAGTCTGTTTAGGTGGTAGAATGACACAGCAACGTCCTTTGGATTTCGAGCCACATACACAACCTGTAGAAACAAGCAAATATGAATCTGGCTTCAAGCACCTTCCCACAAGAACATACAACTAAATTTAATTTCCTGTTTATGTTCTTCAGAATTGTTTAAATGAGGTGTATGTGTGTGTGTGTGTCAGTTACACAGATCCATATTTTAGCCACTAACTGAAGACCCTTCATAAAAAATGATACTGAATGTCATGGCAACAGATGTCACCCAGTCTTTGTACTTTGTAACTCATTGTCTTTAGTAATACCAACATATCAGATGTAGCTTACAAATTTATGAGATGGGAATAGCAAAATAAGTAACATTAATGTAGAGTCTAGATCTTTTATAATTATTAAACTCTTATCGAGTAATTTACAGGAAAATAACAACGTAGCAATCATGCAAAATATTTTCATTTCCATGACTATAATTGATGTGTTATTGTAACTTGACATGAAATATTTCTGACATTATAAAAACCACTGCAGGTAATACTTAATAATAATAACAACTAAACAATTTAATTATAACTAACTCCATGGAACATAGTCCCTGAAAAGACTGTATTTCAGTCAGCTGTTCAAGAAATTCCCTGCCTTTTATGGAGACTGAAGGTTCATCACCGCATTCACAAGAGCCTGCCACCTGTCAAATCCATACCCAAAATCCTATTTTTTTAACATCATTTAAATATTGACCTCCCATGTTTGCTTAGGTCTTCTGATTCATCTCTTCTCTTCAGGCTTTCTAACCAAAATTCTGTGTGCATTTTTCATCCCACAATGCTTTCTCCGTGCTCATATCATCTCATGCTCATTAACTTGATCATCTTAATAAGATTTGGTGAAAAGTACAAACTGTGGATTCCTCATTATACAATTTTCTCCAAACTCCTGTCATATCATCCCTAATGCATACATATCCATGGAAATGTAATAATTAATTATTAGATGTTTTTTATGACTTTACCATGGCACGTCATTATTTGCATTATATGGTATAATGAAGATAGTGATTTTAATTTTATATGCTGCTTTGTGAAGATAATACATTGAAACAAAAGACTGTTCACTCATTCATGGCCTAATATGTACATTTAGTTCTATACAGTGCAGTAAAACAGGTATTTCTCTACATTAAATTATATTACAACATTTCATTAAGCAAAGTTAAATAATAATTATAATTTCTATTTGCTGCTTTGTTAAACTTCTTAATAAAAATACTTTAGATTTTAACCAGTGCTTGATGGCAGTTTCTAATAGGATACATCAACCATAAAGATCAGACTCCTGTTTTCAAAAAGAAAGTTGTAGGCTAACCTTGCAACCAACATCCAGTAAGTTGGGCGGAAGCAAACTGAAGGGTAAGTGTGTCTTGATGAAGCGTGGAGATTTCATTTCATTCAACACTTCATAGCCAGGTCGACTTATCTGCTCCACGAGTTTTAGTTTCTCAGGATTACCAGCATTCAGTTTGAGAAGCTCGGACTTAATTTCATCGTGAACAAATAAACTGAACCTGCCAGCAAAATGTCATTGTATTAATATGTTATGCCTCCTACTGTAATATTAACTAAATTTGTTAGTGTAACCCAGAGGTTCAACACTGCTAATAAAAAGGCCTGTCGTAAGACATGGTACGGCACCTGGGTCATTCTAAAGTATCCGTTCAATAATGAAGACTTTGTAAACATTTTATATCTGAAGACCCTCTTCTCTGGAACCTGAGAATGTATCATATTGTGGTAACAGGAGATGGAGCTAGTGAGCTAAAACTTGTTTTACATTGAACAAATTTGTAAATCTTTGTAATTAGGGAAGTAACATTACTCAGTGGCAAATACATGATTTAAAAACTTCAAGACTTATTATGAAAGCAGTTTAATTTTCTGGCTTTACATTACAGTTGGTTAATTTTCAGATTATTAAACTGCTTTTTAAATGTGCAGGTTACATACGACTGTTTGAGATTTGGATTAATTACGAACGCTGACAAAGTAAGGATGTAAGTAGAATTTGAGGTTTTCACGATAGTGAATTTGAAGATGGCTGTCTTCTGAGTTGTTGCTCCGTGTAGTCCGGTAGATGTTTACCAACGTTTCAGAGGTCCTTGCTGTCTCCATCACCAGGGTCCTCACTGATGATGGAGGCGGCAAGGACATCTGAAACGCTGGTAAACATCTACCGGACTACACAGCGCAACAACCCAGAAGACAGCCATCTTAGATGTAGAATGAGGTAGTCATGGACTGTTTCAAGCTATTATACCAGCATTCACCTGGATTTGTAAGAACTATATGATTCTCACTGTAAACAGGGATTATTTCCTTGAACAGAACAACCAGTTGTTGTTTGTGGTGAAGTGAAGTGCAATGCCTTTTTTAAGCACAGTTTGCAATCTTAAATACAGGAAATTTCATTTGTCCGAAGACTATCCGGTTAGAAAACTATTCACTTATGCCTGCCCACTGCTGGCCACCCACTAGATGCTTGCTGGCATATTTCAATATCGCTGCGTGTTTAGCATGGTTAATTGACCTCGAGATATGTACAAGTACAGTTCGAAGTGATGTGAAACACAAGAGTTCGAAAATGAAGTATGCCGTAGGAAGTATCCTGACAGTACAATGTCATGTAAAGCAACGATTTACAACATCGTAACAAAATTACGTTCAACGGGATCGGTGCTGGACAAAAAGAAATCTCGCAAGAGACGCACTGACTGAAGAGCAGCTTAATGACATTTGGGCGCGATTAGAAGAAAGCTCGAAGAAGTCGTATCTTTTGCTCTTCGGTATGGATTGTACAGCTCCCACTGGTACAAAATTGTTGAAGTTACGGCCTCACAAGACTACTGTCGTACACAGCCTTTTGCCTCCAGATTGCGAAACAAGAATTCGATACTCTAGGTTGTTTCAGGAATCAGTTTTCAATGGATTTATTGACCCAGAACTTGGTTTTATTCTGACGAGGCGTTGTTTGCATTAAGTTGTTACGTAAACAACCAAAATAACAGGTACTGGAGCATAGAAGAAAATCACGCCCTTCATAAAGTGCCATTGCGTGATGTAAAAGTTGGGGGTCCTCACTGATGATGGAGGCGGCAAGGACATCTGAAACGCTGGTAAACATCTACCGGACTACACAGCGCAACAACCCAGAAGACAGCCATCTTAGATGTAGAATGAGGTAGTCATGGACTGTTTCAAGCTATTATACCAGCATTCACCTGGATTTGTAAGAACTATATGATTCTCACTGTAAACAGGGATTATTTCCTTGAACAGAACAACCAGTTGTTGTTTGTGGTGAAGTGAAGTGCAATGCCTTTTTTAAGCACAGTTTGCAATCTTAAATACAGGAAATTTCATTTGTCCGAAGACTATCCGGTTAGAAAACTATTCACTTATGCCTGCCCACTGCTGGCCACCCACTAGATGCTTGCTGGCATATTTCAATATCGCTGCGTGTTTAGCATGGTTAATTGACCTCGAGATATGTACAAGTACAGTTCGAAGTGATGTGAAACACAAGAGTTCGAAAATGAAGTATGCCGTAGGAAGTATCCTGACAGTACAATGTCATGTAAAGCAACGATTTACAACATCGTAACAAAATTACGTTCAACGGGATCGGTGCTGGACAAAAAGAAATCTCGCAAGAGACGCACTGACTGAAGAGCAGCTTAATGACATTTGGGCGCGATTAGAAGAAAGCTCGAAGAAGTCGTATCTTTTGCTCTTCGGTATGGATTGTACAGCTCCCACTGGTACAAAATTGTTGAAGTTACGGCCTCACAAGACTACTGTCGTACACAGCCTTTTGCCTCCAGATTGCGAAACAAGAATTCGATACTCTAGGTTGTTTCAGGAATCAGTTTTCAATGGATTTATTGACCCAGAACTTGGTTTTATTCTGACGAGGCGTTGTTTGCATTAAGTTGTTACGTAAACAACCAAAATAACAGGTACTGGAGCATAGAAGAAAATCACGCCCTTCATAAAGTGCCATTGCGTGATGTAAAAGTTGGGGTTCGGTGTGCAATTCGTGAGCGGAGATTGTGGCCTCCTCGATCACCCGATTTACGAGGGTGAGTCAAATGAAAACCGTAAAACTGAGATAAAAATTCGAAATATCGCGCCATTGTCCTATAAGTTGGCAGACATGTTACCAATGCTATAAAGAGTATCCTATAGGTGGTAGTATAATGCAGACAAACATATCGCCATCACAGTGCCAATTTGAAAATGGCTGCTCCACTAGTTACGTGCACGAAAGAAGAACAACGTTCTGTAATTCGTTTTTTGATCAGTGAAGAATCTTGAAGAATCATCTTCGACCTGCAGTCAGATCAAAGCGACGTGGACTTTGGACTAGAGGTGTCCTTTTGCAACATGACAATGCTCGGCAACAATCCAAGACTTGCACTTTGAGTGTCTTCCACATCCGCCATACTCACTAGACCTAGCCCCAAGTGATTACCACATGTTTGGGCCACTCAAAGAGGCGATGGGAGGAAAGAAGTTCCGTTCTGACGAAGAGATACAGCAGGCGGTGCATGAGTGGTTGCGCAGACAACCACAAGAATTTTTTTCTAGAGGAATCCATACACTTCGTAAACGCTGGAGGGCCTGTATTGAACGAAATGTAGACTATGTAGAAAAATGATATAGTTATGTACCGCTTTCACTCAATAAATTAAATTTAAAAAAAAAATTACGGTTTTCATTTGACTCACCCTCGTAAATTCTTGTGATTTTATTCGTGGCTCACGCTGAAAGCAATCGGCAGTCTTAAGAACTTCAGGAAAATATTAGGCATGAAATTTCCGCTATTCACGAATAGCAACTTCGACGTATCTCTAGGAACATATGCTCACGATGTGACCAATGCTTAGAAGCAGTTCGAGACTCTTTTCTAAATAAGGTAAGTTAAACTACAGTGGAAAAGCTAGCCGTGAATAACCAGCTACCGCGGTGGGTCTACGTGTCAGTCGCTGGATCCAGTCTAACGATTAACGGTATAGCCTGTATTATTTAGACTAGCCTTGGCTTCAGGTGGTTATAGTTCTTGTTTATAAAGAAACATGCTTGTTTTCCGATTACATACAGAAAATTATAGTTTATTTCCATCCTCCCCTTCCTGTTAAGTGACATTTGTGGTCTTCCGCGGGCTACTGTATAAAGACTGTATTTATGGATCTAATTGCTTACTTCATGGTGCAACTCACTCAAAAAAAGGAAACCTCTCAGTCTGAGGAATGCGTCTTGCTGTCTCGTAATCCAGGTTGTTGGCAATCAGCCAAACCATTTCCTGGGTCCATGTTGTTCCTAGGAATAAGATAATGATGCAGTTTTAAAAATATTTGCACATCGTTTCTTTTTCTAATGGTATAGAATGGTAAAACATATTGACGCCTTTGTTTTAATGAAGCAGAACTGAATAAAATATGTTAAGAATAATTGAGATTGACATAAGAATAAACATTTTATTTTAATGAAAGTGTCTTATTTCTCAATGAAATAGTGATATGGAAAGTATATGATAAAATTGAAATTTTAACGTATAGTAGTAAACATACATTTATGATACGAAAGTGAAGTTGGATTGAGAAGGACAAAAATGTTGGTAAAGTGTCAGTATAAATTTACATTTTTAAAAATGCGAAGGGATGTACCAAATTAAACAAAAATTTAAAGTTAAATTTATATGTAAGAAACTATTTATTTTTAATGAGACTACAGGTGAACTGAAAAAAACAAGTTTAAAACTGTACACATACTGTAACAATTCTGGTATGTTTACTCTGTTATTGCTGCTAGATTTTTACTTAGTGGAGGATAACTTTTAATGACCTGTGATGGACAAAGACCTTCAATATAAATTTTATTAGAATGAGTCACACAGTTCTTGAGGTATGAGATGAGAGTATAAAAATCTTTTTTAATTGTCTATAAAACCACAAGACTTGTCAAGAAATTGTATTGGACATAAAATGTGAATTTCGTTTCTGTCTAGAACTTTCGTTATGAACCTTTTTTGTTACTACAAATATTTAATAATATAATATGACTGAGGTATCTGTATAAATACACATAAATAATTTTATGCAAAGAATTTGTTATTTTTTTTCAATTCATCTATACATTTTGAAAATCTGTTCAGTTGTTTTAAAATTTTTACATACGGAGGAATAAATGGACAGAAAGACATAGCAAACCTATCTTAAAAGAGTGAACTATCCCAAAACTTTCTTTTCAATACATAAAAGAAAACTGAGTCAGAACAGACTTGAGAAATTTATGTAGAATATAGAATAAGAATAATATGATGTTTAACTGGTATAAATCCAGAGCAATATCCATAACAGTCATAGAATATTATCATATATATAAAACTATAGAGGAAAACTGGTATACCTGATCTTGGGTAGGTGACTACCCACGTATCATCGGGTCTAACCTGTAGGTTGTAAAAATTGGCTGCCTGATCTTTGTACTTCCTTGGGAGAAACCACTTATCAGGTCCAACCTGTACAAATCCTGTTCTCTCACCAGTGAAGTCGTGCAGGAGCCTCACATTGAGTTCTTCATCAATATCAAAGATTTCTAGTGGGTACTCAGATGACATCACAATGCTTTTTTTTTTTTCAGAATCTTCCCCTTCATGCAAATATTGGAAAAATTATGAATATCAGAAGAGTAGTGAAATTTAACAGAAGTAAATAATTAACTAGTTGACAGATTCAATGATGCAGCATCTTTCTTAAGGAAAGGAATTTATTCAGGTAATCAATAAATATCATTTTATGGAATTAAAAATTTGTCGCATACACATACAGAAATAGGTAAAAATGTAGTTTTGTACACTTTTATTTTACAGATTTACGAGGCGCGTCCACAAAGTAAGTTTCCCACTCGTCCCACAGCTAGCAAACCTTATATTGCGCGAAGCGACTGTGCGTACGTGATAGAGCAATGACGTAGCATGGCGCATGCACTAACGGTACTTCCCGCGTTCTCACAGTAGCATCGTTGCAGCTGTTGAAGATGGAGGTTCTTATTCCAGCCCCCGCCG